CCTCCGCCTTCCTCCCCCCTCCATTTCCCTGGAATCTCAGCCCGGCGCGCCTGCACCCCGGCGCTTCTCTGGGTGGGGAAGCTCCCGGCCGCTTTCTGGCTTCACTCCTTCCTCGCAGCCGGGGCTCCCAGCCCCCTCGCTTCTTTTCCTGGACTGGGTCCCACCCGCTTCTGTCTCCTTCCTTTAGCTCAGGTTCCCTGCTTCTTCCCGTAGTCCCCGCTCCTCAGTCACTTTCTCAGCCCAGGTCCCAGCCTCCCCTCTTGCTTTTCCTTGCCTGGGGTGCAGCCTATCCTCTCCCTTCCTCTGTCCTAGGCGCAGTCCAGTCCCCACCCTCCTTTTCCCTGGCCTGGAGGCCCAGACCTTGCGGTCTCCTCCTGTGGTCCTTCCTGGGTCCCTGTCCCTCTTGCTCGGTTTGGAGTTCTAGATCGAGAACCCAGCCTCCCTCCACCCCCAGAGGACTGCTTCCACACGAGAAGACCTCTCTCTAAAACATGAACTTTCACTAGAGACTACCCCAGTCTCTCTTCCCACCTGCTGACCCCCTTGCCACCTATGTCCCAGGTCTTACTCTCACTTTGCTAAGGGTCAAGGCCTGCTGGGCTGAGGGAGGGAGGATGCTTCTGTGGTCTGGCGTCTGGGGTCCCTCTCTGCCTCGAGTCTTCTCTTCCTTGCTCGTGGTAGTAGCCTTGGTGGGGCTACTACCTGTTCTCAGGAGCCATGGCCTCCAGCACAGTCCTACTGCCAGCATCATCCGAGACTCAGAGCCGCCACGAGAACGCTCAATTGGGGATGTCACCACTGCCCCACCGGATTTCACCCCCGAGAGCCACCCTGTCAACCATTCCATCACTGAACATAGCCCGAAGACGCGAAAGCCCTTTCCAGTCCTGGGCATCGACTACCCACACGTGCAGAGACCCTTCGAGATCTCCCTCTGGATCCTGCTGGCCTGCCTCATGAAGATAGGTAAGTCTGGTTTGCTCTCATGCATCTGCTGCCACCAAACTGGTGAGCTTCTGGCCCCATCCTTACCACTCGAGGCAGGAATAAAGGCCTGGGCTCCTGTAATGTAGGCCGCCTCCATCCTGCCATCTTGGTCCTTCTCAAACTTGAGCTGTGTGGCCTCTGTGAGCTGAGGCCTCCCAAGATTAGAACCAGCATTGTGCATGGGAAAGGACAGGATCAGAGCATGAGATGCTTCTGATACAAGGAGCTTTCAGCAAGACTACCAGGCCTGGCAAGTCTCTGGCTGGACCAGACCCTGAGGGGAGCCAGGCACCCAGCTGTGTGTAAGGCAAAGAGAAGTGTCTTCCCACAAGGGGCACAGCCTGCTCTGTCAACAGCAACCAGTGCAATTAAATGCTGCATGGGAGGGTTTCCCAGGGTGGAGTATATTTCTACTTTGCCTAGCTAAGGAGTTTGATTATAGTGGGGGGAGGGGGACGGTCAGTCCGCGTGCTGGAGACCTAGAAGTGTGGTAGAACATGAGGAATCCCAATATTTTCACCTTCCTTTTTCCCTGGAATATTATCTATCAGCTTTGCTTGCCCTGCCTGCTGAGGAGCCCCTGAATCAGTTTGTGGCCTAGAAATGCTATTCTTTAAACAGTTTATGGGACAGGGGGCCCTGGAATTTCTGTAATTTGTTTTGGGTGTGGAGGGGAGTGGAGGCGGTTGAAGCTTGGTCTGGCCGCAGCTCACTTCCAGGTTGGCACCTGGCTAGGTCTCAGGGCGGTGTCTGAGCTGGCCAGTCACATTGGCCTGCTGTTCCACCAAGTGGGAGAGGGACAGGTGGAGGGGTTCAGGATGTTCTGGTCTGAGGAGACTTTGAAATGTTCTTTATGGGAGAAGAGGAAACAGAAAAGTTGTTCCCTCCCAGAGGGTTGGTCTCCCTGCTAGGCCTGAGCACTCTGTTCTGCTGGGTGATGGATGGAACTCACCAGAGCCTGCATAGCTCAGAAGTCCCTGGAAGGGGGAGGGGGGCACTTTAAAAGCTGCCTTTGCTTTTTTAGCCCCAGCTAGCTGTAGAAGGCATGAGGGCCTGGTACTCCGGTGGTTTGGGTTTGGGGAGTTTGTGACTCTTGGCAGGAAGCCTTGCAGCTTTTCCAAGGACAAGCAGGAGCTGAGTGGCGATGCGAGGCTGGTGTGAGGCAGGCTCTGGGACATGCTGCAGGAAGGCGCTCTGTTTTGACACATCCCGGATGGAGCTTGCTTCCTGTGACAGTGGCAGGGCCTGGCCTATTCATGGACCTGGGCCATTGGCGCCTATACCCTGATGGCAGCCAGTTTCCTGGAAAAAAAATCAAGGACTGGGCAAGGGGAGCCATGTGTACTGATTCTGACAAATAACATGACCTTGAACAAGCTGGGTCCTTTTTCTGCAGGTCTCGCCCACCTGCAAAACTGGCAAGAATCTAAATTTGACCATATCAATCCAGTCATGAACCCTATGTTTTAATTTGTTGTAAGAAACAAGTGACCATGATGTGTCATTTACTTGTGTGGGACCAGGAAGAGACCTCACAAGCACTGTCTATAAACTGCCCTCCTCTCTCCAACCGCCTCTCCTTTCAACCACACCTGCCATGGTGTTCGGGCACCGGGGACGGGTACACACATTGCAGGTCTCAGTGACTTCTGGTGGGATGACAGCATGACCACAGAGATCCTGCTGCGGGCAGTCAGGAGTTTGTCCATATAGGCCTGATAGCTCTGGTTCTAATGGGGTCAGACTCGGCCTGCTTTGTCCCCACCAGCACCTGTGCCAGGGACCCTGGGGAGCAGGAGAACAGAGATGGTGCCATGGCAGGGGCATTAATCTAGAAGTTAGGAAACTTGGCTTCTCATCCCACCTCTCTGTGACCTTGGACCAGTCACCCATCTCCACTTGTTAATTGACCTACGTGGCCCTTTCTGACCATTTCTGCCATTTCACTGACTTAGGTAACCCTGGCAAGTCACTGAACCTGGGGACCTCAGTTTTCCTATTGTAAAATGAGGAGGTTGGGTATGATCTCTGAAGGCCTTCACAGTTCCAAAAGCCTGTGTTTCTGGCTTTGGAGGGCATTTTCCGTGTCTGAAAACAGAGGCGTCCTAGCATCTGGCCATCCTGGGAAGGAAATAGAGAGAAATGTGACCGAAAGTGGACGCCCATGTTTTCCCTTTCCCTTTGCAGTGCAGAATTGAGGTTAGATAAGGGCTCCACCACTTTTCCACTTACCTTTCTGTGCCTCAGTTTCCTCTTGTATAAAATGGGGAAATAACATCTAGCCATAGTGCTACTGATGTGCTGATGACATAAATTAATGCACATACAGTTGTCTTTGTACCCACAGGAGTGGCAACTGCTCCTGTTGGTATTTTAATCACCTAAGGGCATCCCCACCTCAGCCTCCTACAACATCCTTTGAGGCTGGAGGATTACAAATCTCAACCCTAGGCTGCCACAGGGTGTCAGGGTTTGGGGTGTGTCCTGCTGACTCTGTTTTCCTTTCACTTAAGCTGACTCCTGGAGCTAGTCCTGGTGGGAGGGGAGATGGCACCCACTGACTTAGGAGATAGGGTTGGGGGCTGAGGCCATGCTCCCAAGAACCTTGGAGTTCATTTTGGGGTCTTGCCTATTCTCTCAGAGCCCCAGTGTGGGTAGCAGCTATGTTGGAGCCCTCATTCTGTCATCTGCTTCCCTTGCAAGGTGCCCCTCCTTTAAGAATAGAAAGTGCTGTGTGCAGTTCTCATTCCTACCCTAGTCGTTGAGCAGAGCTTTAGGTAGACAGAGATGGGTGTGGGAGGGGCGGGGTTGGAGCTGAAGTTTTCGAGTAGATGCTCTGGCTTCTCTAACTGATTCAGTGGGTGAGTGGGCAAGTCACTTCCCTTCTCTGGCCTTTTTCTCTCTGCAATAGTCAGGCATTCTTGCCTTTACCTTGGGGGTGGGGGGTGGGCTAGTGGCGGGGGGGGGGTTTAATGTTTAAATGACTGCAGGAACTAGGAGGGTGACCCCAAGCCTTAGTTAGGCCCATTCTCCACGCCCGCCACACATGGTGATTTGGACCCTGCATGAATTCTGCTTTGTCCCCAGTTCACCTGGCTCCCAGTCCAGTGCTCGTGCCAAGGCAGAGCCTCCCTGTAACCCAGCTCACCACTGGCACCCACTGCATTTGTTTGTCCACGTCCCTGACCCGGAACTCCTGGCGGAGGCCTGAGAGCCCAGAAAGCAGGTATTCATGTTGTCTCCTGACCAGAGGCAGAAAAGCCTTCCTTTGTCCCTTTACATCTTATAGCTTGTTTTGGTCTGTGCAAGGTGTACCCTGACATTTACTCTTAGAACACGCCTGTGAGTAGAGGAGAATGGGAGTCATTATTGCCCACTTCACATGTGTGGCTATCAGAGCCAGCAACTGGTTTCCTGTAATAATAAGACTAGCACTCTCCTCTCCCGCTTCTCAAAAGAAGAGAGGAACAACTTAAAGGTCACCTTGAAACTGTTACAAGAAGCCCGGATGGGACCTTTCTAAAAAGAAAGGTGACCTTTTGCTCTTCGGGAAAACAGCTGAGTGACTGCAGGACAGTGGAGGTCAACTGAGGACCAGGAGGAAGCCTTCAAGTAGGACATGTGTCCCTAGAAGTGCCAGGGTTGGTGTGAGAGGGCCTGAGTTGGTCATTCTGCTTGGAGTTCATTTAGCTGAGCACCCACGAAGCACGCCTTTCCTCTGGGCCCTGCCCCACCCACCCCTCCAGCTCTGGTGGCAGAGAGACATGGTCAGCCAGCCTGGGCTAGGCTCCTTGTTCCTCGGAACCTGGCTTGCCTCATCAGTCAGGTGACATGCCATCTCTTCTTTCTAGGACCCATGTAGAGATTGAATGTGGGAATGCCCAGCACAGTGCCCAGCTCGCTATGGCAGCTCTCAGGGCCTGTTCCGATTCATCCCCTTTGGGCGGTCTTCCCAGCCCACTCCAGTCCACAGCAGTTGCTTTCACTTCTCCCCCTGAACCCATCTCCCTTATTGTTTATCCGAAGCTTTGGCATTAGGCCTAGCCTGCCCTGTGACATCTCTTCTGGTGTGTGTGTGTGTGTGTGTGTGTGTGTGTGTGTGTGTGTGTGTTTTAATAAGAGTAACCATTTATTGAGTATCTACAGAGTAGAGTCGGACACTTTATAAAAGTGATCTCATTTAATCCCTACTAAAATCATATGAGATAAAGGCTCTCTGTTTGGCAGATGAGGAAACAGCTCAAAGAGGTTATCTGCTGTGATGCTGAATTGCTCTTTATTTTCTGTTTGAGTCTTGGCATCGCCTCCTCGAGGGGTACAGTTACATCTCCTGCCCCTCACATTCCCCTTGGCAGATGCAGACGGCCCTGCACTGAGTAGGTGCCCAGTTCACTACACCTGCCCTGGGCAGTTGTAGGACTCTCTTTAGGGATCAGGCAGATGTCAATGGTGGGAGCCCTCTCCCTGCCCTGAGAAAGCTGTAAGGCTTCTCCGTGCTGGCCTTGGACCCATTCTCCGTCCCTATGAGTCCAAATGGGTGCAGCTGAGGCTGGGCCTGTCCCTTGTCCTCTGGTAGTGACCTTGTCATCTCTTTGCTGGTGCTCTCTCGGTAGTCTGACTGCTTCTTCCCTGCTTGGGCAGGAGGGGTTTCAGTTAAAGGGTGGTTTTCTTTATCCAGCAGTGGGTAGCTAACCTGCTGTGAACTCCTGCCTGGGTAGAAAGGGTGCTGGGTTGCTTTTGCTCACCCTCAGGGCTCAGCAAGATCCCTGGGAGACAGCTCTGTGTTGGCATCAGGTGGCACGGCTTTCTTTATCCCTAAGAGGCAGGTGGAGTTTAGTAGTAATTCTTATGGGTACTGTAATTTACGTATCCGGTATTTAATCTGGTCATCTCAATGAAGGTCCTGTGGGTTAGAGTAGCAGGTGATATTGGCGTACCTGTCCTCTTTCCTGCCGACTGACATTGGCTCATTGAGAGGA